CATGACCAAGCTTCATGTTCCTATTGTGCACGCGGATAACGTGTATAAAAAAAACAATAGAGTGGTTTAGTAAGAGGAAGGGAACGTAAGTTCAGAACGGCGCGTGTAGCAAAGGTGTCGATAAGAAACTGGGTCGAGAACGCCGTCGCGTTGTGTTGAAAAGTGATTTAGCAGTCGTTGCAACGAGAATCCTCACGTCGGCTTTTTAAAAATCACCATCACCCTTGAATTTTCGGTTTTATAGACCACTCTAAGGACAACGAAATTATCTTCTTTGAGAGCTATGAAACAAGGGCAAACAAAGGATAGTTATAAATAAGGCAAGTAAGTTGTTAATATGAATCCACATGGGCGATTAAACTTTGAAACTAATCCAGTTTAGTCTCGAGTCTGCTGATTCATCTATCAAATTTTGAAGCCCACTAAATAATTTTTTCTGTGATTTACGTCGCTGTCATTTCGTTTTGTGCTACTGGATTTCAGCACTACTCGTTTTTCTTCATAATTTTGTAAAGGATAATTTGGAAATCGTCGTCGTTTTCCCCTTGTTTACTGAATATTCTTCTCTATTATGACAGTACATCTCTTTAAAGCACCACCTTAGAATTGAAATGCATTTCGAACGGAATTATCAGGAGTTATGGCGAAACCATATAGAAACCAAGCCACCCAACGATGGAGTTGTTTAAGATGAGTTCCTATTTATCCGTGAAAGTATGAAGTTAACTCAAACTAGTCACCAACGAAACGGTTAGACTTAGAAATAAGACTTCGTTCCTATTTTTTTCTTTTTTTTCTCGTTTTTGTTTAATTTAATTTTTTTTAAACGAATAAGTCGTTCAAGACTGAATCAAATTAATCGATTTAGAAAGCCGTGCCGAAATCGAGTCGATTGTCATTTTATTTCGAAGCGAGAGCATGACTGTCTTGTCTTAGTTTTCACCGGCGCTGATCAAAAGTTTCAAACATTAAAAAGTGCAAACCTGAGCTATTCTCAATTTTTTTTATCTCTGACTTCAATTTGCAGAAAAGTTTTCAATCACGGTAAAAACGACGATAGCAACAAATAACACTGAATAATACAGTAGGTAAGCACCGTGATATTTCATTTTGATAAACTTCAAAATGAAGCAAGTTTAATTTATTGATGAATTGATTCATGATAAAATTAACAGCGTCCCATTCTTAGAGTTTTCATACAGGATTAAAGAAAAATATTAAAGAACACCCCTTTCGCTGCTTTAGGTCTTCCTCAATTACAAGTGTACTGGGCCCTTAAATATTGGATCCGGCGCTTGCCAACGATTGTTTCCTTTCGGGAATCCAGAATAAATGAAGCGGTAGATTTTCCCAAATACACCGAATAAAACAAAGAAATGGACCAGGTTATCCTGGAAATGAGTTCTGAAATAATTCCAAACAGCATTATCTCGTTTATAAGCGCAAAATTTACGCAAATCCCAGGCGTTTTGATCGCGACGGGAAAACCAGCGAAATAACGTCCTGAACCTGTTGGGGAGAGCGGCAACGCTAACACCGGAAGTCGAAGTAGGTCGCGTCCAGACTATCCGCGCGCTTTCTCGTTCTGAAATGACGTTCCCGTCCTCTTGCTAAATCACCCGATTGATGCATAGCAAACGTATACCTTTAAAATTGTGAAGCATTTGATTTGGAAAGCGCTCGAGAAACTAGACTTGCCTTAGTTTACCCTTTGGGCAACTCTTGTGCATCTTTCGTGCTCTCCTTGCTTTCCTGATAGTCATATCTTGATGAATGCACATTGAAGCAGAACCAATTGTTAATCCTTTCATGATTACGTACCGTCCATCTCTGACATGAAGCACTTACCGGAATATGTTGTAAGGACTTCTTGTCGAATATGGAGGATGCCAATTACTGTTGCTCTTGAATCCCAGTGGAAGGTTAACTATCACTGAGGTCCTTTCAATCTCTCTCTGTTCTTGTTATCGTTTAAGCTACACATTCTCTTTTCCAAAGAGGGGAAACTCCCCATCTCTGATATCGCGGTAAATGGTTGAAAAGAACACTTTTGGCTGCAATACAATAGCTACTCTTGAGATGGGCCTTAAGTACGTTTAGGGAGGGTTGCCTACTACCTCTCATACTGTACTTTGCAGCTGTGTTCTGTACTGACTAGACCGACATATGATTGTTTTTTTTTCAAGAGAAAAGTAGCATAAATAATATATTACAGCTGAAGGTTGCCTCTCTGGTAGAGTGGCAACTAATTTTCATAGATGAAAAAGAGTTTAGACATGTCAAGACCATAAACAAGATTAAATTCAAATTCGATCTATCAGGATCGCTCTCAACCACACAGGCACTCAACCGTCTTGATATGATATTCAAAACATTTCCTGTTATAAGTACTGACTTTTTTTTAGTACAAGATGATTGAAAGCTTACAAAGGGGTGGACCGAAAGCTAAGATATCAGTACTTGGCTAAATTAATTTCTCTTATTGCATTAGTTCTGCGTCTTTTAAATCCTCCCTTTGTATATTCTGTAGGCGTTCCATTCGAAGCTATCCATTTCATTTATTTGTTTGTTTTATTTTTAATCACGATCATTTCATTGACTAGCTGAAGGACTCCTTGAGAAACTTCCTCTCCTTGGGGCCTTTATAGGCCTGTTGTATTTGTCTGTTACTTTTTTAGAGGTGAGGGAGGAGGAGTTAAGTTGAAACCGCGTAACAAAGGTCAACTTTTTGATGGAGGCCCGAGTGTTAGAAGCCATTGATCGCCTTTCTTCGCTGAATGAGATCGAGACAGATCAGTTATCAAAATGCATCATTTACTATCGGCCATTAAGAGGGTTATTTATTGATGAAGCTTCTTTCAGCATGTATATCGCAACCACAAATTACTCCGTCTGGAATCTGTCTGAGACGCCTGTGCAAAACTGAATGTGTTTATGACGCATTGAAAGACTAAGCGAATTGCTTTTGTTTAGTGGCGCAAAGTGTTGCATATTGCATTCAGTTAAAGGGCGTAACCTGCACATGTAAGTAAAAGAAAAGCCAAGCTTGCTTTTAAGATTATTACGCAAGATCAAACGAGATTAAACTGGTCCGTTTCGGATGAAGGGATACCATGTGAAAACCCCGTAATCATTGTGGAACTAAATAAATAATGCAGCTTGAAAAGGGATTACCAGTGATGGTTTACATATTGAAATGAGGTAATAGCATTTGATCACGCAGACCTGAACAAGCATGAATCACGGAGTCTGAAAATGTACTGCGTTTGAGTACATTAAGGAAAAATTCTTCTTACATAACATATAAATTATATTTACAAATAATGCTGCAGTTACCCTAGGCACTCAAAATCAAACTTAACTTACTTTTCCCTAACAGTATAAGAAAGGAAGGTCGCTATGCATAAAAGTTCATTAGAAAATTTATGACCAAACCCACAGCTTTGAGGAGGCTGTGATGAACAAAATATCCCGGCGTTCCTTCCAGCTTCGTTTTGATTGAAATGATCACGTAAAACTTGTTTTAGGTAAGGTGAAGCGAATCCTACGGTTTAATTGGTTATCACAGCGGGGAAGATGACTCTATTTTTACCCGACCAAAATCATAAACAATGATTTTGTTAAAAATAAATGGAAGAAAAAATTTACTTGGGAACGGCTTACAGAATTCGCAGCTTCTGTCGCAACTTCTTTGTCTACAACATTGGAATCAAAATACGAAAACCACACATCTCGAAGACTGATGCAAAGATAATAGTAACAATAACAATAAGATTCACCGATTTGTTTCGCAACAGAGCACAATTTATTTTGCTTTTATCATTTGGTTAAAAAAATGAATCCTATTTAGACTATTGAAAGTACCTTGGCGGTATAAAACATTCTGGACATCAAGCTTCGTGCATAAAGCATATATGATTAATGCTTGCGAAGATAACTTTTTTGATTGATCTCGAGTCGCGTGAAAGCTTGAATCCTAAAAATACTTTCACTTGATAGAAAACCGCTATTCAAGTTGCTTTTGTTTAAGACTTAAAGGGCCATCGTTCTGAGCTAGTCAAAATGAGTCCCGAATACATTTTGTAAAACCTGAAAATTTCTGAAAATACATTTAGATTTTTTCCTTCGATATTTGGACATTTTTTTTCTCAAGTTTCTAAATGTTTGAAAAAAAAATTGTCCGGAAGTTTGGGTCAGAGGCGATCACTTTATCTTTAAGAGAATGTTATTTCAACCTCAGAATGTCTCTTGAGTAAAGTGGCTCTTTAAGACCTCGTGAAAATTGATCTTTTCATAATCCTCTCTCAGTTTTCATCGAAATACCTCGTTGACAATTTTGCAGCAGGCTGCATGTTCACTCGAATCACGTAGTCTGACTATGTTCCTCCGCATGCAAATACCGCGTTTCTGGGGCAATGGCACTTTAAAATATTGTAGTGGTCATTTTATCGGTGCTATATTTTCACAGGACACTCGAGTGATGCTATTGTATCAAAAGAATGTTTCTCTTGTGTGGTAAACTTTACAGATTTTTCGTTTGAAAACCGAGATCACCGAAGATCGCTTGAGGTCACGTAATCAAAGACTTCCCATGTAGGCTTCGATTACTGAAAATATCAAATCTCAATTCGAGCAAAAAACGAAGCAAAAACTCACATTTAATTACATAGTGGTTGCTTCAACGAATTCAAAAGCTCTGAACACGATTTTAAAGCAGATTTCATCAACAGTTTTCGATGGCACCGCCTACCGATGTTTTTTTTTAATCTATCAGTTCGAGCGATTGCGCAAGAAGAATTAGTTTCGAGTAACCGTATGCGCTTTCACGTGATATCCTGAGAATCTCGTGAGCACAATATCTCATCCTTTGCAATGAATATTCCAACTTGGCTGAAATACGTACGCTTCTTAAAGCGAGAAAGACTGGAATTATTTTGAGCTGCTATTTTGATCGTAAAAAATTTGATACGCCTTCGGCTTCTTTACGTTCTTATCTCTCTTGGTGATGAATTGTTCTTGCAAGAATAAGCTCCAACGCAAAGGTCACAGTTTTTAGACCGCATGTAAGCACATCACCGGCTCTGGTAAAAATTCTTTGTTTATTGTTTTCTTCTCATTTTAAATTGGATTTGACCATTGTAAAAACCTAATTCCTTCTTTATGTTAACCTTCAGAATTTTAAGTACGATTTTTTGCGCAGGGGTGGTTATGTTTTATACTTATTAAGCATAAACCTAGCTACTGACGCAGTAAAACATTGGCTTGATTTACACACGGCACCACGGTTAGCCAATTACAATTCCAGTTTGATTTTACTTTTACAATGAACAAAGTACATAAATAGCTAATTAAATTACGCAGCTGTTGTTTCCTGCTGCAGTATTTGAATAGATGTTTATGTTTTACCATCAAATGCGCTGATTCTTAAATAGTTTTGTTTCTCCCCTTTGACCACAGGTAGACAATAATTACATTGTGTATTTCCCCGTGCAAATGGCCCTGCGGCAAACATAATGGACAGCTAATCAATCAATCTCTTCACCTGCCTGATTTAATGGTATTTTGAGATAAGAGAGTGAAAAGGCATTAATTAAGAGACGAAAACTCTGAAACCTTTGCTACTTATTCGCGAGGATATTAAAACAGCCAAAGCTTATCCGCTGTTACTTTGCTGAGAGAAGCCGTCAGCGTCAACGTCTTTACGAGCAATTGGACGAATTACATCTCTTTGACAAGGTTTGCAACTGCCTCAGTCATGAATGCGACTGGAAACTCCACTGGCTGCTTAAGGGCAAAATGCCTGTTTACAACTGGTGAAAGAGTGGCCATTGTTATCTTCTTCAGTGTGATTTTCATTGCCTCTTTGGTTGGAAACTGCATCTTATTCGTGGCAATTATTCGCAATAAGCGACTGCGACGGAGCTCCACGAACTTTTCATTCCTCAGCCTTAGTTTCGCGAACATCCTTATCACAATCTTCTGCATTCCAGTGTTCACAATTGACGCGTTTATCGCGGAGAGTTGGCTCTTTGGATCGATCGGCTGCAAACTTGTCAACTTTCTCCAAACAATGTCTATAAACGCTGCTATTTTGACCCTGCTCGTGATCAGCGTGGAGAAGTTTTTGGTCGTTTATTTTCCATTCCAATTCCGATCTCAACGAACCAAAGTTCGCTACTTAGTGTTTTTCGCTTGGATACTTGGCATCATCCAACCTTCGGTATATCTCAGTTACAGAAAAGTCAAAGAAATCAATGGAGTTCAATGGTGTTTCGAACAGTGGCCGTCGCCTGATACACGTAAAATCTATATTGTTGCTCAGGTATTTGTCCTACGTTTTGCGCCCCTCATGTTCATGATGCTTCTTCACGCGCTGACTATAAAAAGAATTAAGGCGAGATTACAGTACCGTAGATCCAGCGATGAAGAAGGAAACTTTAATGGACCCGGCACGGTACAAATCAGCTCGCACGCACTGAAGATCCGAAAGAAAGCTGTAGTTATGCTTGTTGTGGTTGTTACAACTGCTACGGTAACGTTGTTCCCTTTCAATATCCTGGCCTGTTGGAGAGTACTCGCTAATCCCAAGATTACCGATCTGTTCTCTGCCAATCTTGTATACTTGGTCACGTTGTGGCTTATGTACTTCAACAGTGCTTCCCATCCCATCATCTTCGGCCTGATGAGTACAGAATACCGTAAAGCTGCCAAGAGCTCCTTTAGATCTTTTGTTCGGAAATCCTCGGCGCCAAGCCGGATTGTCGTTTCGAGCTCCAAAAAGAACAAAGAGGAACCCATGATTATGACAGCGCTAGCTTCTGGTTCCGCTTAAACTTGAGAAAAAAGGGCCACCATTTTATCAAGATTAAATTGCAAAAACTTTATTTTAAAGACAGACTAAAGTGGATAGCTCGGGAAGGTTACGAAACTCCAAGTAAAGAGAAAGTTGTCTGTTGTAAGGCTTAGGTGAACGCCTTTAAGGTGATTCCATGCATTGTTTGATCAATTTATTTTAAGATCACGCGAAAATTATGGTTGAAAAAGCGAGAGACATTTAAAATATTGAAGGTATGATTGTATATAGCTTAGATCTTGTCATTATTTGCCCTTGTATTTATTTCTCAAATTTACCATCCAATAGTTCTGAAAGGAATTTCTTTAAAACAGGCATTACTGGATCATTTCGTTTATTAGATCATGGAGAAAATTAAAAAGATCTCATTCTTTAATGAACCATAAAACAGCTTGTGATAGCTGCGAGACACAGTACTACCAAATGACCATGAGACTTATTCTTTTATTTCAAAGACTAAACAAGAATAAAAACAGGAAAAAATTAGGGTTACAAACGTGCTCCCTTTGTGGTTCTATTTTAATATTTCCCTATCAGATTTAAATCATTATCATTGACAACAAAAGAGCCAAGGAAATTATATGGAAGTTTTCAATAAAGGTTCAGTCAATGTTTGAGCGCCAACCATGATCTAAAATATACCCGGAACTTCGTAGACGATGCATGCATCAGGGCGGGAATATTTAATTTACTATCAATGCCGGAGGATGTATGATGCAACATTCATTTTCTTCCCTCTTTCTCTTGTTTATTTTTTTTGTGTGTGGGTGTTTTGTTTTGTTTTTGCTTTGTTTATCTCAATCAGTTGATCTTAGTTTTCCTCCATTTGAGTACACTTTATTTATGATGTAACTAAGTCACTGTCATGAGAATTAACTATCGCCGGATGATTTCAAAAGAAATGTATTTTCATTTCTTTTTTTTTATCTTTATTATTACTATTTTTTTTCAGTCATTTATGTGACGCAGAACACTGATTTGTTGAAGATTTTCTACCATAATTGATTTCAGTTTCCTAATGTTAAGGCCGGTACGGCACTCTGTTTGTCCCTTGTAAAGTGTAAAGATAGTTGTCCATGTAACCAATCAACATAATCGTTAGAGATAGTTAATTAACGTGCGCATATGATGGTTGTCACAGGTCAGGAAATAGCCGAAAAAAAAAAAAGAAAAAAAAAGGTTTACGCCGTCAACTTGAAGTCAGGGAATTTTCTACCGAAAAGAGTTATGTAAATTGAGTTTTTAAGGTCTCAGCTCAAACAGGTTTCCTGTCTTTTTTGTAGAGGCCACTGTATAATTGCACTCTCGTTATCTGTTATAAAATATATCAAAGAGAGAGAAAAAAAAAAGATTGTCGCAATAGGAAGTTGAACGCCTCTACTGTCTATTACATTTTTTATCTATTTGATCAACGAAATTTTATTGACTCCTTGAAAAGAAAAGTAACTTGATGCCTGTGGCGGCCACATACATCTGTAATGTCAAGGTTAGGGTAAGTGATGCTCTTACGTTTGAAAAGTGTAATAAAACAGCACTTAAAGAGTAACATGCAGACATATCTTATAGCCTGTCTCTGTGTTCACCTGCAATCTGAAAATCGTTGTTGTTCAACTCTAAATAGTTTTCTTGCTTCTAACTTGACTCAAGGAATAAAATGAAATAAAGTATGTGCTTCTGTGGCTTCATTTCGCTTTGAGCATGAGGTAAACATTTCGTTCTGATATGTCACAACTCGTCTCTGGAATATAGCTAATTCTGCCGCGGAGCTCTGAGGTTTGAGAGCAATTTTACCTTCGAGGAAACGAAAATAGGATTTGATTTCGTACATCACCGCCCCCGTATGATGCAGATCTAAGTCTTGCAGTGTGATTTCCCCTCTACCTCCGACTGAGAACAAAGGAGATTCCAGGATTTTTTTATATTCCAACGTAGTTTTTCTACAATTTTACAACAACTACACAAGGCCATCAAGAGATTCCAGTTGGGTGGAAACTGATTACAGTAACGTTACTAAAAGGTAATCGAGGTGGCTTACTGAATGAAGAACGCACTCTTTTGGAAAATGGCCCTTTGGTTCCCTAAGTTGTAGATCTTCTAGTGCTTTTGCCTCAAATATGTTGTTTAAACCTTTTTCATTTTTTTCAATTCTGCTTATAATGGAGAAGACACACATCAAACATTTTTACTTTGGATTTTTTTTGTGAGTGTGTGTGGGGATGTTTGCCAAAGTTGAAAAATTTTGCTGCGGGATATTAAGTTCAATATCTTGAAAATATATATACTGTTTACTCTGCTTTACATTTCGTTATTCCATCATCCTATTTTTTTCTATCAAGTTGAACGCCAATTAAACCATTCGATCGCAAAACAGACTCAACTTAACGACGATTAAACAAATCCTGAAAAAAAATTGCCCCAAAGGAGATTCCAAAGGGCCTTACAGTAAGAGACAAAGAAAACCATGAAAAAAATTTTTTTTTTAGAGAAAGATCATTATTTCTTTTGATGTACATTCCCAGCATGATAATGCAGCTTTCAACTTAAGTGTTTAAAAAAAATTTTACCTTTAACAAGAAAACTAAGAATAGAAAAATCATAATTGATTCTCCGATAATTTTTAAAATGACTATGGCAGCATTACTCATGTAATCAACATTTCATTTTCTCTGTCTCTTGAAGTCTAATGTCATACTGCTTGTTTCGCTGCGTCTCTATGTAGACCTCGGCATGTCCCGGATGATTTTCATTCGTTTCCGTATTCTAAGTGGTACTGAGCCATTCAATCTCGCAGAAAGCCTTTCCTGGGTTTCCACTCATTTCTTAAAAAGTGTTCAATAATTGTTCACCAATTCAAACAGGCCATCTTACAAGGAAAATACGATGATTATAATACATACACTGTTTGTCCAATTAAGTTCACAGAGTCGAATACTGAGGCGCTCTGTGCGAAAGTTATTAATCTAAACCTGAATCTTACCATCTTCCATATGATAGATAATTTTATATTTATGCAAGACTATGCAGGATAGGAACATTTATTTGATCAGACTTTCAAATAAATTTAATGCAAAATTGCTGCCAACCAACTGCTCACTCGCTGTTTCCGTAGCTTCTGTCCTTCGAGTTACTGCCTCAGTCAATTGTCAATGATGTATCAGGGAATATCTCCTCCCAAGTAACCAGATTGGAGGAGATATCACCCTGATTGAACAAAGATATGTTAAAACTCAGCACCCAACATAATTGCCATGTTTTGTGTGGCTTAGAGAGAAAACTTTCCAAAAACATTTGGAATAATTGCCCTTTAATTATTTTGTGAATGCATTTGAGAATATCTTCTCCCAGTTGCCAGATGGGAGGATATTCCATTCTAGCTGGTTTTAAGGAGTGATGTGGGAAAACGATATGGATAATTTCAGCACCCGATGTAACTTGCATCTTTTTTTTAGATTCGATGGCGCAATTTCTTGCACAACTCGAATAATTACCCTTATTCACTTGTCGATGTGTTTGAGATTATCCTCTTTAAGGTGTCGCTTAGGAAGATGCACGGAACATAATTTTCCGAACCACTTTGGTACTAATCTAGCAAAAGACGTAAGTGCAATTGTTTTGTGGGTGAAAAAGGGGTAAATAGATAAAAAAGGTTCTAACACACCTGAAATTTTGGAATTGTTTATTTTCAGTCGTGACGTCACTGTGCCTTATTTACAATGCTTACGATAAGCGAAAACTAAACTACTTTCCATTTCACCGACAAACAAACAAATGATACAATTTAAAATATCACGCCCCAAAAAAATAAAAGTAAGCTAAACTGTCCTTCTGGGCCTTAAACTGTCCCTCTGGGCCTTGGAATAACAAAGCCTTTTTTGTGATGATAATTCATTGAATTAGGTTTCTGTAAATGTCCGGTCCATAAGTAAATAAAATGTCCTGTCCATAAGTAAATAAAATGTCCTATTTCGCTGAAATCAAACTCAAATCATTTCTACTGACAACTATTCAAGAATTCAATCTTTATCTTTATTTTCACATTCTTTTTGAAGTGTCTCACGGGCGTTTTAGAGCGTAGGATTTCGTACGTTCCGAATCTTTAGCTCTCGTTGATCGCTGTTGATGGTAAATGTACTTTAAAATGAACTTTTGTTTTTATGAGAGCATTAGAGATACCTTGCGCAACACAGAAAAGGCGTCGAACCAAGATGAGCATGTGAAAGTAAACAAAAAAACAAAACTCCAACGTTCCTCTCTCCTTCTGTTCTTTTCATTTCACACGTTCTTTAGTGATGCTTGCGGTGTTTACGAAAGATGTGGTGTTTCTTAGTTCCTTTAACTGGTCTTGGGGCGTGGTGACGTTTTCCGTAAGAATAAGAAGGCTGGTTATACACTGTGTTGCAACAGGCAGGAGTACACCCGGTAGGTGCGCATGTACTGGGGCAGTTGTTTGGGCACGTGACCGGCATGGGAGGAGGAGGAGGAGGAGGAGCCTGAGGATAGTAGTAGGGCTGTTGGTACTGCTGGCAGCAGCTGGAGTAGCAAGAAGGAGCACAGGCCGATGGGCATGGAATTTGGCAGATCGCAGGGGGTATTTCCTTGTAACATGCTAAATATTGAATGAAAAATCATAAATGTTAAATACGTATTTTCAACAGCCGTCATAGAAGTTATTTAAGAAGAGAATATTTCGTATCACCAAGTAGAACATTCAAACTTTGTAAGGAAGCGCGAGGTTAGAATTTTACCCAAGTATACTACGAAAATTTTATGATATTTTCCCCGGCAGAATTATAGCTATACATATCTCAGACAAAGACAATTTTTGGTCGAAAGACCACACAAGTAAAAAATTTCAATAATGGTTTGTTTCGCTTACTACTCTATGATAAACTGTCCATATCTGAGGCAGTCGCAATAAGAAAGAAGGGATAATTGTGTCATGACTCACCTGCCTGACCAAGTTTTGGAGCGACAGCAACTGGAGTCAGCTTTCCAAGCTTGCCGGCGGTTATGGCTTTAGTCAGGTTTGGAAGATGAGTCCCGTTGTCTTTGAACTCGACCACAAAGTGTACAATGGTCTTGCCATCTGGGGCTTTGCTGTTTTAGAGAAGATTAGGTGAAAATTAGCTAACGTTGCTCATGGTTATCATGATTTTACATAGAAGACGAAATATTCACGGCAGAGGTATTATATTATTATATTATTATTATATTGTTATATTAGTATTATATGGGGAAATTCTGGTTGCTTTTAATTTAACTGGAAGTAAGCCTCTCTCACTGAACTAAAACATACCGTACTTTATGTCGTGGTAACTAGTTTTTTCATCGTAAATAAGGTAAAGGTTATTTTAAAAATTCTTTTATGGGGATAAGAAAGGTGATGTTACTAAATTTCTTTGTGTGCTATACACGTATTAATAGCGGAAATCATCAAGGAAGCCGTTGGAAACTCTAAATAAACACAGACAACCTCTTCAAGCGCGGGGTTGAGTGACATATTGGTTTTTACTTTTTAATTTGATTGGTCGAAAAGGTGGTGCGCAGTTTCCAAACCAATAAAAGAGCATAATCAAGCAAATCCTGTGTTATCCCGGATCACTCTTATTTTAGAACTCATTGAAAATTAGAGCACAATGTGAAGCATAGCTACCTGAATAACAAAGTTGTTACACCAAGGAAAGGCTTGTATCCATCATAAACTTGTAAAACCTAATAAGTTAAAAAAAAATATTCATTAGCAAGTATAAATTTTCAACGAGATATCGCACCAAATTTCATGTCTACAAAACATGGCATTTCGCTTTGCTTCAATACTTACTCCAACTTCGAAATCTGTTCTAAGTTTGATGAACTGAGGCGAATGTGGAGAAGCTAAACTTTCATCATAAGTTGCGTTTGTCAGCTTCAGTGTCAGGTTAAATACGGTGCCTACAACGAGGAGGAAAATTTTGAGACCAAACATTATAAATTTGACTTGATGCATGATTTGTGTGATAGGGGTCAAAACCCTTACAATTTAGAAAACTTACAGACATGCACCATTAAAATCATTCCCGGTGAGGGAAGTCAGTGCCTCAGATTTTAGACTACGCTTTCCATTTTTTACTTCCAAAAATTACACTTAAAT